AAAATTTTTAGGGGTTAAAAAAATCGATAAATATAAATTTAAATAAAAATTTATATTTAGGAGTCTCTAGAGCTAAAACGGAATTTCATATTATTTTCTCAAAAAAAACAGTTTATCCCACTAACACTCTGGCTCAAGGTATGGTCTTGAAGAAGGAAACAAATTAAATTGTTACCGCCAACGTTTCGACCTATTTTATCGTCAACATCAGGGCAAAACAATCTTTATCTACAGATTGATATATTTATGTGTTTTTACAGGCGATCTCATATTTTCTTGAAGGCTCAGTCCCAACAATGCCAAAGACCGTAACAGTATTTAATAATATGGCTATGACCTTAAATATATAATATAAATATATTCAATAATAGATTATGACCTTAAAATAAGTCGAAAGCTTGTCAGTAACAACTTAATTTGTTTCCTTCTTCAAGATCCTGATTCAGAGTGTTCGTGAGTGAAAAGGTAGTCGATAGTTATAATACTGAAAAACCTTTAGGTCATAAAAGGTTCACTTGAAAAATATTTGGCTTTTAGAATTTTTTAGTTATTGATAAACATTGATAGTTTTACTATATTTTTATTGCAATGTACATAAAAACGCTGTAGAATGATATATTCACATAGTTGATATGAGCAAATAGAACGGCAAAATAAAAGTATTAAAAATAGAAAATGTCACCTTTATAAAACAAATGTTAGGCGAAACCTTGGTCTATTCACAAGAAGTGGCCGATATTTTGGAGTGTAGAATCACTATATTCTATTGGTCTAAATCCGTATACACCAACCTGGTCGTCCTCTACCAACATTTTTTTTCAGAATAATTTATCATATTTTTTAATGGCTCAATTTATTTAAAATTTGGCTTTTGGACAAGATTTTTCTAGACAGAACTGGCCAGATATATTCGCAACATCTCTTGGACCGTCAATTTTTTCTGTTTTACCCAATTAAACTCCTAAATAATCTAAGGGTCAATTCACACATTCACTTTTTATGGTATTGATTTTTTCTGGCCAAGTTTGATTAAAATTTGCCTTTCTGGCGAGAATTTTTAAGCAGGACTCGCCAAATATATTCGCAAATATCTCAGGGACACGAGTTTTCCTAATTTTGCCATTTATACATCTAAATCATCTTTGGGTCCGTCTCTCCTCGCTTTTTCCTACAATATGAGATTTTCACTAAATCAATTTGATTAAAGTTGTCCATTTTGGACCAGTTTTCTAATCAGGAATGTCCAAAATATATTCGTAAATATCTCAGGAACTAGATTTTTCATAGTTTATCCATTTATACCTCTAAATCATTTTTCCGGTACGTACTTCCTCGCTTTTTTCTAGAATATGAGGTTTTCACTGACTCAATTTGATTAAAGGTGTCCATTTTGGCCAGTTTTCTAATCAGGATTGGCCAAAATATATTCGCAAATATCTCAGGGACTATATTTTTCATAATTTATCCATTATATATAGTCGATTTGAGCAAGTAGAACGGGGAAATAAAAATATTAAAGACAGAAAATTTGACCTTTCAAAAACAATTTTGGCGAAACCTGGGCCTGTTCGCTTGAAGTGGCCGATAAGTGTCCGATATTTTGGAGTATTGAATAAAAAAAAAAAAGTCCAAATCCGTGACACACCAACCTGGTCGTCCCTTTGTTAGATCTTTAATGAAGTTTCAGTTTCAAGTTCTGAAGTTGAAGTTCAGAATTCAATGAAACTTTTCGGATGTGTTAAACGATTCAAAATAAATCAAATGACTTTATCCTCCGACCGTAAGAAAATAGTTTACGTGCCTATGATATTTTCAAGAAGAAAAAATGTTTCTACCTTTAACTTGTTACGTCTAGGTATTATTGAAGAATTATAAACATGTAAAAAGAGGAAAAAGGAAAGAATAAAGCTGGACTGGCCCGTGACATCTAAATGGTAATTGCTTCTTCCTTGTTCCTCTGTAAAAGGGCCGACTGGTTTCTTTCTACTCCGCCATCCACTGAGGTATTTGTTGGCAAAAAAAGCTTAAATAATGCTCAATGTGTTGTTTAAACATAAAAAATCTAGGTAGACTCGAGTGGCGATAAAAATCAACGGGACCGGTCTTTAAAATTGATGTACCGGATCGTAAAATCCCGATGCGGAAGGGGTTCCGTCATCACGGTCAAGTCGAAAAGTATTTTTCATGCATATCCTACTTTTCGAGATATGAGATATGAATTTCGCCTGAAGAAGATATTCGCGGGACGCGAAAAACCCGTGGCCGAAAACGAAAAAACGTGTTTTCCCCCATTAACCATATATTAACCGCAATGTTATTATGTTGCACGTATTTTAAACATACTTCAGTGAATTGGCTCGTTGAGTTCTTTTTCTATTTTGTTTTGACGCAATTCCTTACGAATTTCACATCGTCTACGTAAAGATAAAAACAAATCGATATTTCCACTCAGAAAAACAAAACATCATTATTCCTTTCGCTTTTCGACATAAATTTACTTGGTTGTATGATTTTCAGTTACAATTCCTTCTTGAAACCTCAATTCATTACTTTTAGATGTGGTCAAATATTTGTTTCGAATTTTTCAAAATATACATTTTTATTCTTTTTTGCTTTTTCAAATAGATATTTTCACTAGATGTTATAGGCTGATTCTTATAAAATCGATGATTTTATATCTCGATTTTTGGTTTCAATATTCTAAGAATCGAATTTTTTATATCAATGTTTCGTCTGCCGTTTTGTTATTGTATTGTTGCTTTATTAAATCGATATTTCCACTCGATGTTGCAGTTCAATTTTTTAAAAAATTGTTTTACACTTCGGGTTTTAAGAAACTTTTTTTTGTATTGTTGCTTTATTAAATCGATATTTCTACTCGATATTCAGTACGATTCTTTAAATTAGATCTCGAGTTTTAGCTACAGTGCTTTAAGATTAGATTTTTTATATCATTGTTTCATCTGTCGAATTTTTTTGTAATTGATTCATCATTAAATCGATATTTTCACTCTTTGGTGCAGTTCGATTCTTTAAAAATTGATTTATATCTCGAGTTTTATTATTAATGCTTTAAGAATCGATTTTTTTGTATTGTTCCTTTATTAAATCGATATTTTTACACGTTGTTGCAGTTCGATGCTTTAAAAATCTGTTTTAGTTTTAGTTTCAATACTTTAAGAATTAATTATTTATTTCAATGTTTCATCTGTCAAATTTTTTGTAATTGATTCTTCATTAAATCGATTTTTCCACTCGATGTTGTAGTTTGATTCTTTAAAATTGATGTCTTATATTTCGATTTTTGCTTTAATTGCTTGAAGAATAGATTTTTTTATTTTTTTACTATTTTAAAATCTGTATTTCGACTGTAGTTTGATACTTTCCGAATGAAATGTTTTTAAAGGACGTTTTAAAATCGATTTTTAAACTCGATGTCACAGCTTGAATATTTTCCATTCTATATTTTCTTTGTCAAATTCGTATTTCGAATATTTAAAAATACACATTTTCATTCGATAGATTGAATCGACATTTTCAGATGTCAAATGTTTTTTAAAGTCGATATTTTCATTCGATTTTAGTTTGATTAATTCAGAATCGATGTTTTCGCTTTAGATTTCATTTCGATATTTTGATCGATATTTTCGCTTGTTGTTATAATTCATTTCCGCTGAATCGACATTTTCTGATGTCAAATGTTTATTGCGATGTTTTTCAAAATCGATATTTTCCATTCGATTTTAGTTTGATTAATTCAGAATCGATGTTTTCGATTTAGATTTTTATTTCAATTTGTTAGATCGATATTTTCACTCGTTATTACATATCATTTCCGCTGAATCGACGTTTTCAGATGTCAAATGTTTTTCAAAGTCGATATATTCATTCGATTTTACTTTGATTAATTCAGAATCGATGTTTTTGATTTAGATTTTTATTTCGATATGTTTGATCGATATTGTCACTAATTGTTATAGGCCATTTCAGCTGAATCGACATTTTCTTTTTATTTTGAAGCTTGTCCAAATAGATACTTTCATTCGATTTTTTGTTTCGATGCTATTTTAAATCGATATTCTATTCGATGCTGCAGTTCGATTCTTTTAAAATCGATGTTTTTATACGTCGATTTTGTTGTTAATAATGGATTTTTTTTATATCTGCCTTCAGAATCGTTATCCTTTTCTGGCGTGATTTTTTAATCTAAAATAACTTTATATATTTTAAATTTATCTGCATTATTTTAGCATTACAAGGTGGTTTTTTGACTTTGCTGCAAGCATTAGCAAAACCATCACATTTTCATTTATTTCACCTTCTCAAAAAAAAGTGTGTCATTCGTCCTCGTAGAAATTACAATAAAACACTTAATTACGCTTCAAGTGTAATAAAGTTGCTAAGTTAATATATTTTCAATCTTAAGTTTAATGTGGCTTCTTGATGTGCAACTGGCATTACTTTACAACGCCATTATCATGGTACAAATTTCAACGAGAACTTATCTTCTTCTTAATCTTCGATCGTATTTCTAACCATCACATAAACGCAATGTTTTAGCATTAAATCATCGTCCTAATAAGAAAACAGAGGCCGTTTCGATAAAGATTTGTACCGTTTACACACTTCATTACTTGCACTACAACGTTTCAAGCCGAAACCTGTCTCATAATGTAATTGGATATCGAGGTAAAAACATGCTTAATGAAGACGCCTTAGTCTTGATTTGTAACTGTTTTTCTTTTTAAGTACGAATAGATAAAACTGGTTAAACTGTAGAGTAATTAAATTAAGCCAACAAGTTAAAGACTTGAAGTAGCATTTAAGATGCGATAAAAACATAGCGCAATATCATTTGTATTTTTGTTTTGCGCGAGGCGGGTTTTTGTTGAGGAAGTATGATGAAAATGAGCGGTCAGGACTGATTTCCGACGTCAGATTTTTATCTCGAACCTCCGGAATGCGCTGACTTAAATTTCGCCCCTATGTTTTTTTTCCAGAGAATGTGACCGAACGGGTGGATGCTACTTCGCCCGGACCAGACCTACGAGGACAGGGCTCCTCTGGGCTACTCCGAGGTCCAAAACCTTCTTAAGACCCTGAGGATCGAGCCGGGGCTGCTATGCCGCTTCAGGGACCCACTTCCCTTCCATTACTGTAAGTAGGATTATTCACAAACTTCAGGAAAATAGCGATAACAGGTGGACATGTAATCAGTACAGACGTTGAGAATACAGAGAAAAAGCGTGAATAGGCGGACCCATTTCAGGTCAGGTTAATGATTATAACAGCATAAATGGAAAACTAAAAATGAGCCGTTAATCCAAAGCAGGACTAAGGATAGCAAAAAAGCACAACGCAGAAAATGCCCACAGTCCAAGAATGAATAGATATTTTATATTTCGATATTTCAAGTCGATGTAGCAGTTCGTTGTTTAACAATCGATGTTTTATATCTCGATTGTGAGTTACAATCCTTCACGAATCGATTTTTATATCAATGTTTTTAGATGTTGATTTTTGTATCGATGCTGTTTTAAATCGATCTTTCTATTAAAGGTTGTAATTCGACTCTTTAGGAATCGATTTTTTGTATCAGCGTTTTATATATCTATTATTCTACCGATGTTTTTTTAAATCGATATTTTTACTCTATAATGTAGTTTGATACATTAACAATTGATGTTTTTACATCTCGATTGTTTGTTACAATGTTTTACGAATCGATTTTTATATCAGTTTTTGTTGATTATTTGTATCGATGGTTTTAATCGATAATTCCATTAGAGGTTGTAATTCGTACCTTTAAGAATCTTTTCTTTTTAAATATCGATATTTTTATATCTCGATTATTAGTTACAATCTTTTACGAATCGATTTTATAGATCAAAGTTTTTAAATGTCGATTTTTTGAATCGATATTTTTCATATCGATGTTTACATTCGATATTTTAATTTCATGCTGTAAGAATCTAAGTTCTATATCTTGATTTTTAGTTTCAGTGCGTTAAGAACCGATTTTTATATCATTGTTTCAGATGTCGATTTCTGTTCAGATGATTTTCAAATCGATACTTCTCCTCGATTCTGTTGTTCCATGCTTTTTTAAATGGAGATTTTCATTCTTTATGAATCGATGTTTTTATGTAGATTTTTAGTTTTACGCTTTATGATTCGATTTTTTATATCAATGTTTTTTTATGTTATTTTTTAGTTTCAATGCTTAAAGAATCAATTTTTATATCATTGTTTTAGGTGTAGAATTTTTGTATCGATACTTTTTAAATCGATATTTCCACTCGATGTTATAGTTAGTTGATTTATGAATCGATGTTTTTATAACTCCATTTTTTTCAATGCTTTAGGAAACAATTTTTCATATCTAAGTTCTTTTATGCCATTTTTTTCTACTACGCCTTCAGAATCATTGTTAACCCATTCTGGCCGAATTTTCGGATCAATAAAACCTGTAGCAATTTTATTTTAAAAGAATTGGCAAAAAAATCTTTTTTTTTGCATTTCAAAAAAGTGTAGGGAAAAACTTAATCGTTGTTTCATGAAGTGGACTAGAAAGGAATAGATTTTTCTTATTTTATTTTATAGTTGGTAGGTTGTTAATCTGGAGAAACAATGTCTGTTGAGATGTTCAGAATGCAGAGAAAAAGCGCGAATAGGCGGGCCCATTTCATGTTTAGTTAATGGTTAAAACAGTATAAGAGAAAAACTAAAATTCTGTTGATTTTCAAAGGAAAAACGATAGACTGCAACAAGTCACAACGCGTGAAAACCAAGGGTCCAATAGTCTCCAGAAAGGATACATTTATATATGTCGATTTTTGAGTACGGATGGGTTTTTTTTTAATGGATTTAATTGATGTAGTACTTCTTGTTACCTGGACTTTTTAATTTTCACAAATGGTCTCGAAACTCTTTTATATTTGTAAACGGGCGCGACAAATTCTGGCAAGACACGGCAGAGTTGATCCACTATTGGAATCTCCTTTTTAAAGAAAACTTACTAGGAAAAACAGTAAATAATAAGTTGCGACACATAATAAAATAAAGAATAAACCGTATTATATTTATAATTATGGCGTATAAGCGAAAAATACCCGTTGTGGCCCTCGGGGTTGTCAAATTCCATCCATATGCCCGTTTTGGGACTTGCCGGTGAGGGCAGCACCTAGCGGACTGCGCCTTGGTTCACAGAAGAGCCGAGAGAAAGCGGAGCTTGTACTTGAAAAGAAAAAAAATGCCAACTTGACCCTAGCTTTCCGCGCTTTGTCAAACACACCGCACTCCATGCTTTTAATATATTCATGAAATATACATTGTTAGTCTGTCTGCTGTCTTGTACGTTCTCTTTTAAACGCATAAAAACGCATTATTGCACGAGGCATTTACCGCGGGACTGATTTTATATATTTTTTTTTTGAGAAATTTGTTCGAACTGAGAGCTCGAAGCCGTTCTGGCGTTATCCACTCGGTGAAACAACTCACTCATGGCATCAATGGCAGTGAACCTCTTAAACTTCTAATAAAAGATACCAATAAAAAATGAATGGTTTGAGCATGATCCGCTTATTCTCGTCGGTTCTGTCGTCATTTAGTGATTGGTTTGAATACGTACACAAGAGAAAGCAATTTTGGTAAAAAAATGAAAAGAAAGATTTGCTAATGTGCTGTGACATTTTGCCACATTAAGTCAGTCTTTTGGCTTGTAATTTTGACTAGTTGATCAGTTAAAATATTGAATTGATTGATGCAGTATATAACAAGATATTAAGTATTTCACAAATCAACAAGTAGAAAACCATCAGGACATGACCTCAGGACCTCTACTCTATTTCGAAACCTTCCTCAGAAGGTCTGTGGTCTTTTTAACCATGATCCTACGTATAATCCTCTTTTATGGAAGTATTCCATGGCCATTCTTATTTCTATAGCTAACTAATTTCCCAGCCATACTCTTACAAATCGCCTTCTTCCTGTGGTTTCCTAAATCCATCTTGGATGGGGCCTAGGATTTTGATACCGCCACTTCACCTTCATCGCCCTCTCAACCATTCTTCTGAAATTAAGTACTTAATTCACAAATCCCCAAGTAGAAAACCATCACGACATTGCCTAATTGCCTCCACTGTTCTTCGAAACCTTCCTCAGAAGTTCTTTGCCCATTTTAACTGTAATCCTACTAGCTTTCCCTTCTTCTGGACGTCGTCATTCTCATTCCTAAAGCTCACAGACCTTCCAACCATCCTTCTACAAACCGCCTTCTTCCAGAGATGTCCAAAATCCTCGAAGCTCGTCCTATCACATAAAATCATTCCACGAACCAGGATGGTTCCATAGTTGTTGAAATTTCCTCCGTTCTCGCGACCCCAGATGTGGACTGAGCTTTTCATAAGTTCTTGCACCCAGGGTTTCTATAAGCTCAAATCCTTATTACCTACCGACTTCTACTAAAGTCATGTACTTAAGACTATACCTAGACAGCAGCCTGACGTCGAATCATCATACAAAACGTAAGATGCCAGCTTCTAACATCTTTCTAATTAAGGTTGAACTTAAGAAGTCTTTAGGACCGAAATATATTTTAACCAAAACGCAACTAGCTCTGTAGATTGTGACCACTTTGGACCTCTGAAACTGTCGGATTCCGCCGAATTATTTAATCCTTCCAATTAAAAGTCAACACAAATTGTCAAAGCTTCTTACTTGGTCTCTAATCTAACAACCTTAGCATTGCTTTTATAAAGGAACTCCAAGAGTGTATCTGTCCGACCACTGATGAAAACGCCGAAACAAATCAGCTAGACTCAACGGGCCAGGAAGGTCGGAAACAATCAATATTATATATTCGCTGACCTCTAAGCCACTTGGTCATACAAGGACTGTATATTTTACCTCTTGCCTATCTGGCTTCCAGATGTATAACATACCAACCGTTCCAGCCGTTCTTCAGGTTTTTAGTTTATAGGGTCAATTACTCCAGTTGTCAACATCAAGGTTTCTTTCATCTATCGCGTCTTCGTGCTCTTCTCCTCAATAGGAAAGCTGAAAAGCTAGCGAGGTAAAAAAAAGATGAAAAAACCCTCCAACGGTGCCCAGTTGAATCAAAATGTAAATTTATTCCGAGTGGTCGGTTCGGGACTTGTTTATTAGTCCTCAGATATCATTGTACTGCTGAATAAGCCGGGCGGACCCCCCTATTTAATTTTAATTAACGGCCGGGAGCAGAGCACGAAATATATTTTCCTTTCGTATTGCTTCTTATAAATCATACCCGGCGGCTATCATTTTTTACAATAGGTTAATGAATCATGCAAAAGTAAAATCATCAGTGGGCAATTTTAAACGTTGATTCAGAAGATCGTGCACAAATGAAACAGGAATGGTAAATCTGTCCTAACAATATTTCAAACGTTTAGATCTTAACATAAATAGATAATTAAAAAATTAAGGGTTATCTACATGGGATGATCAAAACATCGGTGTTTTGCTGTTTATATGTACTACAATATAATATTGAAATGCTGATGTTTAATTTTGTATAATCGACAGTAACAAAATTTCGATTTTACTTACTTATATGGATTTTTTTTTTTTTTTTTTTTTTTTTGACTTTGCCCTACAGACATTGATTCAATGTCATTTTGTCGGTGACTACGCCAACCGACCCGGGCCACCCCCAAAGGGCACCACCACATACGCCCGCTTGTCATTCGGGTATTAATTTCAGCAGCATTTATATGCACTTATATGGATAGCATTGAAGCATCGATGTTTCGATATAATAATAATAAAGTGTTTATTCAAATATATACAAAGTTACAGTTTCACAATTCTATGCAGGGACACTAGTACATGGACAGAGTCCATCTATGTCCATTTTGCTAGTAGCGATACATCGATTATTTCTATGGAAGTTCGATAATATCGAAAAATCGATAGAAATTTTTCGATATTATCGAACTTCCTTAGAAATAATCGAAGTATCGCTACAAGCAAAATTCAAAAGAAAACATCGATGTTTAGGGATGGTTAGGGATGGTACTCAATACTCAAAAATTTTGACAGGAAGCATCAACGGTGTTCTTCAAACTTTAATCGAAAACATCGATACTATCGAATATATTGTATGTTTGGATTCAATT